TTTTACAACCATATTTATAGTAACTGGTTCAGGTAAGAATCATCAATAGATATTAAGTCTAGGTGGAAATCTGGGTAAAGAGTGTCATACTTGCATGGTTTTAAAGTGGCTCTTTACAGATTATACTTCTGAATTGCAAGGGAATAAATAATAAGTATGCACTGGAGAAATGGGACAGTACCTTGACTGAATGATCAAAATGAATATCACCAATAAGGGGCAGATTGTCTGCATTGAGATGTGATAATCTGAAGAGTCCAACATCACTTATGTACTGTTTGGTCCAAGAGTGCATAATCTGCATCTAATAATGAGGAAACATTAGAGAAACCCCAAATGAGAAACACTGTGTTTTAAAAAGAGCTAAAAAAAAAACACAACTGTGGGAGAAGATTAAAGAAACACAGGAACCAACTGAAAGATTACCCAATGGCCAACACTGGAACAATTTGTGCAATAATAAATAAAACAGTATTGGATTATAATCAAAATATAAATATCCTTGAGTCTATAGTGATAAAAATAAATCATGGAATAAATTGGAGAGGAGAGACAAATCTCCCATGCATAAGAACTCTAAATCTACTCTGCCATCAAGGAAATGGAGCATATCTCTGCACTCCATAAGTGTGGGCTGTGCACGGTGACTTCCTTCTACAGTACAGTGTGCAGCGTAGGGGAAATGAGTAGCTGTACAGTGCAGAAACCTGACAAACACCACCTTAGCCAGGTGAGCAAGGGTGACAACAGGGATAATAAGTCACATCTTGATATGATACGATGAAAATGGCACTCTACCTCTTTGGTCTTCCTCCCCAAAACATATAACTGCAGTTTAATTATCAGAAAAACAGCAAATAAGTCATAATTGAGGGACTTTTTACAAAATACCAGACTAGAATTCCTCAAAACTGTCTAAGGCCAGTAAAAACAAGAAAGTCTGAGAAACTGTCACATCCAAGGGGAGCCTAGAAACATTACTACTAAATATAATGTGATATCCTGGATGGGATCCTGGAATAGGAAATGGACATTAGATAAAAACTAAGGAAACTTTGTACACAAATATTGAGAGCCTCATTATTCATAATAGCCCCAAAGTGAAACTAATCCAAATGTCTATCAACTGATGAATACATAAGCAAAATGTTGTATATCCATACAATGGAATATAACTCAGCCATAAAAATGGAGTTCTGATATATGTTGTAACACAGATGAACCTTGAAAGCATTATGCTGAGTGAAAGAAGCCAGAAACAGAAGGCCACATATTACATGGTTCCACTTACATGGATTATCCAGAATAGGCAAGTCCATGGCGAAGGAAAGTTAGTTTAGTAGTTGCTGGGGGATTGGGGGTAGTGACTGCTTTTGGCCACTGGGTTTCTTTTTGGGGTAATGAAAATTTTCTGGACTTAGATAGTGGTGATAGTTGCATAACCTTGCAAATATGCTAAAAACCACTGAAATGTACATTTTAAAGTGGTGAATTTTATGGTATGTAAATTATATCTCAATTCCTTAAAACTAAGGAAATAGAAATAAAGTATGGAATTTAGTTCACCAAAAAAGGGAGGATGACTACACTCAAAATGTCAGTGTTATAAAAGACAGACTGGAAAACTTCCAGATTCATTGAGATTAGAGAGGTGTGATAACTAAAGCCAATGCATGATCTTTAACTGGATCCCGTATGGTGGTGGGAAAAGGTTATAAAAGACATTATTCAGTCAATTGACAAAGTTGTACTAAGGATAATAGCTTAGATTAAAAGTATTTGATCAGTGTTAATTTAGTTTAACTACATTCTTAATTTTAGGAAATACACACAGATACTTGGAGTTAAAGGGACATCGTATATGGAACTTGATCTCAAATTATTCAGAAAAAAATGTATGTGTGTATATATTTTATGCACCTACAGAGGAGGAGAGATACATGTGATAAAAGAGATGAGGTAAAAGGTTAGCAAATCAATGTAGGCAAAGGGTTTACAAATACTTTGTATTCTTGGAAATTTGTTTTTCTGTGAGTTAAGGAAAACAGCATTTGGAATAGTGTTAACAAGGATGTTCAACAGTGGGAGCTCATATTATTACTCTATATAAGAATGTAAATCTGTTCAAATACTTGGTAAAATAATTTGGAATATGACTTCAGTATTTGAAAAATAATAATTTTGGCATTTTCTATTTTTAGATAGATATCCTGAAGAAATTCCTCTACATGTGCACCACAAACATATGAAATAATGTGACAGGAACATTATTTTAATAGCCAAAAAATGGGGGGGGCATTTTAATACAGCAGTGAAAATGAGTAGACTAGAGCATGTATCAGTATTAACATCTATGCATCTCAGAAATAATGCTGAATGAAAAACAAGTCACTGAGGAGCATAACCAGAAGCAATCCATTTATACAAAGAATTAAAACCAGACAAAACTAAGCAACACATTGTTTAGGGCTACGTACATATGTGAGACAGCTATGAAGAAAAACGAAAGAAGGGAGGGCACAAGGGGGACTTGGAAAGTACTGGTGATCTGTTTCTTAAGCTCGTTGGTGTATAAACGAGTGTTTGTGTTTTCTGTATTTATAAAATACTCTGGGTATGTGTATTTTTAAAAAGTTTTTAAATTTTAAAAACGTTTCAAAACGCAAAACCCTCCAAGGCAAATAATTTTAAACCATAAATCATTAAATGAGCAAAGCAAGTTATGAAATTGTGTATGAGTTTTTGTTAAGAAATTGCATATGCATCTGTATCTTTGTGTTTATAGAAATAAGTCTGAGAAGAAAAACACAAAACTGTTGTTCCTTAGGAAGTAGGATTTCTAGAGAACTTTTGCATTATACTTCTTTGTATTTACTTATGTACTTTTGAGATCTGTGAGCATTTATCAGCCAGGCTCATATTTTGAGATTATATTTCTTTTGTCTTTACTGCTGTTGAATAAAGAGCTTAAAGGTAGGGTCCAACTGTTATACATACTTTTCTGTGTGTTTTTTTTAATCAGAAAAATAATAAAACAATTTCCATTTTAGAAAATAAAACCAAAAAATTTAGAGGAAGGTCACTAGCAATGTTTAGAAATCTTAACTGAGGAATGCAGGTTACAAAACAGTATTTTACATACTTAATATTAGTTCACTTAATATATTATGTATATTCAAAATCTTAAAAATATCCTGGAATGAAAATGCTCCACCACTAACAATTATTATTTCTAGGTGGTATAATTTTCAGGTGGTTTTAATTTTCTTTGTATTTTCCTAATCTGCATGTATTACATATGGAAGTAGGAAAAAAAATTATGAGAGTATTCACCATTATTAAGGACTGAAGTTCTTAGATGATTTCAGTAACATTATTCTTACCTTTGGGAGTAGCAGCTACTTACCTGACTGAGCAGCGGTAGGTACTAAGAGAAGAGAAGAGAAGAGAGCTCATCTCTACCCTTGTTACAGATGTGAGTTCAGTGGTACTCTTTCATCGGGTTGGCCAAAAAGTGCCTTCGGTTTATCTTTTTGAGCAAAGAACTGTTCCAGGTGCCTTTTACAGTCTTTCAGGGAATTGAAATTTTTTCCATTTAGAGAATTTTGTAAAGACCGAGATAAATGGAAATCCAAAGGTGCAATGTCTGGTGAATACAACCAGTGAATCAGAACTTCCCAGCCAAGCTGTAACTGTTTGTGTCTCATCATCAAAGAAACATGTGGTCTTGCATTATCCTCATGGAAGATTATGCATTTACTGTTGACTAATTCTGGATACTTTTCATTGAGTGCTGCTTTCAGTTGGTCTGATTGGGAGCAGTATTTGTTGGAATTAATCATTTGGTTTTCTGGAAGGAGCTCATAATAGAGGACTCCCTTCCAATCCCACCATATACACAACATCACCTTCTTTGCATGAAGACCAGCCTTTGTTGTGGTTGGTGGTGGTTCATTTCGCTTGCTCCACGATCTCTTCCATTCCACATTGTCGTATTGTTTCATTGCCTATCACAGTCTGTTTTAAAAATGGAACGTTTGGGACTTCCCTGGTGGTGCAGTGGTTAAGAATCTGCCTGCCAGTGCAGGGGACACGGGTTCGAGCCCTGGTCTGGGAAGATCCCACATGCCACGGAGCAACTAAGCCCGTGTGCCACGACTACTGAGCCTGCGCTTGAGCCGACAAGCCACAACTACTGAGCCCATGTGCCACAACTAGAGCCCGTGCACCGCAACAAAGAGTAGCTCCCGTTCGCCATAAGTAGAGAAAGCCTGCGTGCAGCAACGAAGACCCAATGCAGCCATAAATAAATAAACAAACAAACAAAAACAAACCCGGAACGTTTTCATTACATTTAAGTAGAGAATTGCACGCAGAAATATGGTCAAGAAGGTTTTGTTCCCTTAACTTATGTGGAACCCAAACATCACATAACCAAGCTGGTGCAAATTTTCAGCGCTCGATTTGGATGTTTTGAGTATGTCATCTATCTCCCGCGTGGTATAACGTTGATTGTTCTCAGTGTCTCAGTTTGATCCCTATCAACTTCAACTGGTCTTCCCGAGCGTGGAGCATCATCTAACAAGAAACCTCCAACACGAAACTTCTCAAACCACTTTTGACGTGTTTGATCAGTCACAGCACCTTCTCCATACACTGCACAAATCTTTTTTTTTGCATTTCAGTTGCGTTTTTACCTTTCTTGAAATAATAAAGCATAATATGCCAAAAATGTTGCCTTTTTCCTTCCATCTTCAATATTAAAATGGCTACACAAATATCCACCAATTGTGCTAAGTCTTTTTTTAAATGCACACTGATATGACAGCTGTCACATACGATCTAACAAAATTATTTCGAATGAAGTTAAAGAAAACTAAGTTGCTGCTAGAGCCATCTCACGGAAAAAAGTGAACGAACCTTTTGGCCGACCCAATAAATGGCTGCTTTATTCTTTGACAACTGCATTGATCAGTTATCTAACTTCATGTCTCCTTCAGGTGCTGCACTATCTGGCAGTACAGAAACCTGCAGACCTTGCTAGGCACCTGTTACCTTGTGTAATTCATGCAGCCGTACTCAAGGTAAAGGAGGAAGGTAAGTGTCTTATTTGATGAGTCATTAGTTCATTTCCAAAATAAAAGTAGATTTTGCCTAACTTATCTGATGATGGCTTTGATATTTTTAAAAATAGAAAGTCTGGAAAACATTTCTTCAGTTAAGAAGATTATAAAGCAAATAATATCTCATTCCAGTAAAGTTTTGCACTTCCCCAATCCAGAAGACAAGAAATTGGAAGTAAGTCTGATCTTTCCAAGTGTTCTCCCCAGTTGGCAATAATTATTTTAAAGATACATTTTTTAAAGGCTTTTTGCTGTCTTCCAATGTATGCCTCTCCCCTTTCGCACTGTTAGGAAATCATCCATCAAATTACTAATGTAGAAGCTATAATTGCTAGAGCCCGATCACTGAAAGCCAAGTTTGGAACTGAGAAATGTGAACAAGAGGAGGAAAAGGAAGATCTTGAAAGGTAATTGGTATCTGATTAACTCATTTTTATCTGCAAATAGGAAAAGCCACCACTCTCTTTAGAAAATTTTTGTAAAATATTGAGAATCTTTTGTAGTGTTCCTCTATTTTTTGTAACAAGCATTGGCTAGAGACAGAGAAATATTTGTTTATCATAGGATTTGACCTCTCCTGTATCTCTTGAGTATTTGCCACGTGTTTCCATTCCTCCCACTTTTAGAACGAAGGCTTCCAGGTCTCTCTTTCTAGGAGTGTCCTTGTTCGCTCTTGGAGTAGTTGCCTGTGGAGGAACTGGCTGTTTACTCTTTGTTACTTGCAGGGCCCCAGAGCTTTGCTTTCCACTCTCACTGTTCCTTAAGTACAGGCAGAGGTGTTCTGAAACTATTTCTGCTGAATATTCCTAGTTTTTACACAAGATTTACTAAAGAGTTACTAAATCTTCTGAACCAGATTTGTGGTAGCAAATGTGCATACCTTCTGTGCTTTGTGAATGTGTTTTGAAAGAGTGACCAGATGGCCTCTCCATGATGAGGCAAATGATTGGGTCAGTCTTTTCCTCCTTCCAAGATTTGGACCATTTCGAAGGGATCCTGTCACTGTGGGTCCCTGTCCATTTTTTGTCTGAGGTACTTGAAAGGACGATGTTGTTTCAATAAGTGATAAAGTGTTTCCAAATTAGCTACTTGAGCAGCTTGAATTCGTTATAACTAAAATTTTCATCAGTCTTTCCATGAGAAATGGCATTATTGATGATAATTAATATTATATGACAAGGCATTTGCTATAGCTTTTAACAAGTTCTTGTTTGAATATTATATTTTTTGTTGAAATTTTTGCCCAGCCTTCTTTGCTCTTGAAAATTCCTTCCTCTTAAATGAGAAGAATATGCTCTAATCACAGGAATTGTTTCTAAGATAGCAGTATGAGTTAGTGAGCAGGTGGTGCAGAGTTGGTGGCTCTGTGCCTTCGACTCTCTTAGCTCCACCATACGTTGTCTGTGATATACTTGGAAGTAGAGTGTTTCTAGCACATAATGGCACAGCTTACAATTGAGACTTTGCCCAGCAAAACATGTATTTTAAGCACATGCACACACACGCACTCACACTCACTCATACACCTTAAAAGAACAAAAATAAGAAATAAGGACCATTGCTTTGCTGTATAAATTAAACATGGTTTTTGTTGTTAAAAATATTTTTAAAAATCTTTTATTTAGTGTAGCATCTTCTATAGTCTGAAAGAAATAGACTGAATATTTTTTTCTTACACTTTGACAGAGATGGGCTTTTAAAAAAATTTACAAAAACAGTTGAAAGGCAGTAAGATTGTCATTTGAGTCGATTTTAATTCCAAATGTTGATCTGTCCTGTTAAAAAATTTCCACTCCAGCCTTGGTGTAGGGTTTGCCAGTATCATTTTGACGGTTTGTCCCCGAAATGAATCAGGGAGGATTGACCCAGTGTGAACTGAGCAGCTCGTTTTCTATCCTTTCATTACCTCTCTCTTCCAGGTTTGTGAGTTGCCTTTTGGAGCAACCTGAGGTGTTAGTTGTCGGTGCAGGAAGAGGACACGCTGGCAGGATCATTCACAAGCTGTTTGTGAATGCTCAGAGGGTATGTGAGATTCCTTATTGACTGTGTCATGATCTCTCCAGGACTCTGCTCAGTAAGGTACTGTTTTGATTCCCACACATGGCCGATTCTACAGCTGCTAATAACAGCATTGGATTCGAACACTGAAGAAATAATGACTCTCAACAGTAACTTTTTAGTCTTTGAAATCCATCTGCTTTCTTACATGTTTAAATAAAATGATAAGTTTATTTTAGTACCAAAATTTCAGAAGTTAAAATGGCCTGAAATTCCTTGTTAACGAATCTGATAGGGACTTGTTTAGCAATGGCCAGTGCTGTGCTGTGGAAAAAATGTTTACTACTTTCAAATTAGAGTTTAGTTTTACCAGTTTTAAACTCCATGTACTGCAATGGATTCACAACTTAGCTTGGAGTTAGTAAATCTAACTATTCTTAAAATGGTGAAGAGATCTAACTTCAGAGGGTTCCTAAGAAGGAAAAGCAAGATTCAGATTTTTAGGACTATGGAAAACAGTCTTCAGCACAGAAAGAAAGCTCAATTTGAAAACTTTCCTGGGTCATTAGCTCTACTGATAAAAATTTTAAAAATCGTATAGTACCTCTGACATTCTAAAACTGTTACGATTTGGATTTTTATGAGGATGGTATTAGTTATACTTTGGGTTGATTCTCTCTGTACTGATCTTGTTTACTGGTTAAGAGGTGCTGGTATTCCGTAGGTGATTCTCACATCAGGACTCATTAAAGATTATGATAAAAGTATTTTGAAGTGTACTAAATACAGGGTGCCCCTTATGTAGCACTGTGATGACACTAGAATGGCCCAGTTTTGAAGGTATAATTCTCACAGTCAAATGAGAAAAAGAATTTTCGTGGGTTTACACATGGAATAAAAACTTCATAATCTCCTTTGAGTCGGTCTGGAGTGCATCGAATATATGAATTTGAATATATTGAATTTGAATATATTCAAAATCATAGCCAAATATACTGATAGAAATTTTAGCAAGAACTAAAACCTGAGATTATTTATGGGGTGGCCCGCTAAATTTAAGGATTTCAAGTTAAAAACCAAATATTTCCTTATAAATTAAAGTTCTAGGAAACAATAGATGCTTACTTTGATTTATTTTGTTTTTCTCTCTGGCATGAAACCAGAACCAAGTCTGTTTTCACATCCTGTGATATATTTGCCAGTTTACTAGCCAGCGCTTATAAGCACATTTCCTTGTTAACACCAATATGAATTTTCCTTATACTGCAAAAATTCTTTCATTTTTTAAAACCTGTGTGTTACGACAATTTAAAATCTGAAGTATTTATAAAATATTTTTAATGCTGAGAGTAGAACACTCTCATTGTTCTAAATACGTAAGCAAAATTATTTTCCCCAATATGGAAATAAGCTTTTTCCTTGAGACTGTAAGTAAAGTCTTACTGTAAAAATTTGGATAATACAGAGAATTATAATGAAAAATTAATGACACTGAAAAATGAATCACATTAATCTCACTACCCACTGGTGATCACTGTCAACATTTAACATCTAGTATATACAAATATATGTAAATTTTACAAAATAGGATTATATTATATAGTTTACTTTGTTCTTACTTTCCGCTCAATGTAATTATCTTTCTGCATTAGTAAATATAAGAGTGTATCATCTTTTCCCTGGGCTCATTGTATAGCTAATCCCCTTTAATGGATACTGAAATCGTACATTCATCCCACATTTTATAATTTTAAAATATTTTAAACTTTCAAACCTTGAAGTGAATGTTTTTAGGGAATTGGCAGACTGTAATCCATATAACAAGCACCTGGTTGGTACATTTTTAAACTCACCTTTTAAATATCTGGCTAATTAATAGAAACCATTCAAATTTATTCACATAATTTTTCATAATTGATACTTTATATCAATTCTATTAAATCAAGATGTTAACTTTTTTAAAGTTATAAAATTTCACTGAAAATATTTTATAGCCTACAGTAATTTTACATATTTAGAACTTTTCCTTAAAATCATACATTTTAATAAACTTTCATCATGATTTTGTCAGTGGTATATCCATATTTAAATGGAATTCAGCAAACAGACCACTGATTGGATTTTGCCTTAGTCTTTCTAAATTGAATAAGTCAGACATCTAGTCTTAAATTCATTGGGTTATCTATTTTTCAAGACATGAGTACTTTTTTTAGTATCTTAATCTTTGGGAAAAGAGCTGGATTTTTGCTGAATCATTTCCCCATTAAGTGACACTCTGTACGTTGCCTCTTTAGCCATCAGATGCATGAGTAGTGAGATTTGTCTGCTCAGTTGGACGGCTAGGTGTGTTGTATGTGGTGTGTTTTTGTCTTGATATTCTTTTGATAGGATCATGTTCCTTAACGTAGTGCATGCTGTCTCTGAAATAATCTTGCAGTCTCTTGTCTAGCTCTTTTTAAACCATCTTGCTTGTTTCCCTTTCATCACTGTTTCTTTTCTCACCCTTTCTCAAGCTGACTGAATCTTCTGATGAGGTAACAAAATAGCCTTTGTCCCTCATAGTTCCTTGTTCCTTCCCATCCCTCTAACTTCATAAGGTCATTAAGACTAACCAACCACCTCTTTAGCAGTCTGGGTTTGGCATACCTTTCTTGCTGGTGTTTAGCATAACATGATTTCATATTTCCATTGCCAAAGCAATTATTTTTTTCCAAATTGATGGTATTGTGAAAGAAACATAGTGATCAGAGTTAAAATGAAAGCTCTAGTTGAATACGTATTTTATTCAATTATAATGAAAAAATAGATGCCTTTAATATTGAGAACTTCTCTTGTGGCCACTGCTACATTTCATGGACCTCTGTCACTTCCGCGTTACATTAGTCACCCACCCAGCAAACAAAACCAGTGTCCTCAGTTTTAATTTGACAAATGAACCTTAAAAAGAATTGAAAGAATCGGTAAAAAAAATCATCTTTCCAGACTCTGGAGAGCAGCATTTCCTTACTGGACTGAGGACATCAGACTTGGACTTGGGTCATTGCTAGAAGAAATGTATAGAAACCAGAACAGCTCCATTGTCCCTCTTCATCAGATGTCTGAATATGGCCCTCACTTTCCAAAGCAGATTGCCTGGCAGTCATTATCTTCTGTCTGTGTCACCAGTTTATTTGTAATCTCTGGCTGCTCATGCAGTGTTTCAAGCTTCTTGCATTTTCTGTGTTGTGATTTTTGAGCAATCATAACATAACTGACTGCATTACTGAGTAATGTAGAACATTTTAATGTATTTATCATGCTTATTCAGCTGTCCTTCAAAATGATCTGAGTTTAGCATTCGGCCTGCTCTTGAACTAGCATGTGATTCTCTTCAAGGCTGCAGCCATGGCTCCGCCGGAGGAGGATCTGAAGAGGATGGTCCCCCCAGAAGAGAAGAGGCAGAACCTGGTGGCAGACTTCCCACCTGCTGCGGGCCGGGAGCTCATTTTGCGCACGACCGTGCCCCGCCCCGCTCCCTACTCCCGGGCTCTGCCTCAGCGCATGTACAGTGTCCTCACCAAAGAGGATTTCAGGCTTGCAGGTGCCTTTTCATCAGATACCTCCTTCTTCTAATCCTTCTAGAGTTCCCTCATTTGTGGCTTCACAGACAATGCTAACCCCTTCTGTGGGAAGGAGGTTGTGCCAGTCAGAACCTGAGAGGCCATGAAGAGGACCTGTCCAGTTTGGTGATCAAGAATCATACCAGCATCTGAGAGACTTTCCACTGGGCTGTCTAGGGTCTTGTGGGGGCAGAGGAATGGGCTTCAGCTATTGAAAGATTTCTTTCCCAAAGAGATGGCCCTTGTTGTTTGGGGGATGGGGGGGACCAGAACAACAGCAGGAGGTCTGTGTACTCCCTCCAGCAGGATTGTGTTCATTTCTTCTTTTCCATGACTATCCCTTAGGCTATTGCCCTACATTCATAGTCTCTGTAAACACCTATTATATTTATTAGTATCAAGTATGCAAAGTAGAGTACCAGTTAACTCGGATTTCTGGATATTTTGGTGGTAGCTTCTACTCCCAGAATCTGTTTTTAAAATACTAAATGACATTCTGTTTATTCAGTCACCTGGTGGCCATCTTTACTGTACTAATTGACTTTTGATGAGCATTTTGAATATTCTAGGAGAAAGCCCGGAATTTCACAGTCTATGTGTTTTTCCATGTAACTGTGACTTAAATGTATTCCTTCCGATAAAAAAACTATATATTAAATGTCACTGCAAATTAGTTTTATATCTCTCGTAAGGTTTGTTTCTCTGACTTGTTTTTTCTTTGGTTGCCCTGGAAGATATCACCCTGCAGATCATTGTTCTCTCTCTTGCTGTACAACATGCATTCCTTTTTTTGTGGTTGCTTGCAGTATTTAATGAAGCAGAGATGAGCACACGCTAAAAATATAGCCTCTGAACGTAGAAATTATCGTGCAGTTAGTATAATTTGGCATATGTGCTAATGTAATGAATAGAAGATTACTTCAGTGAACTATTTTGCTTTTGTATTATAGTTAAAATGAAGATAATTGATGGGGGATGTGTAGCACCCAGCATAAGGATAACAACAACATATTTCTAGTTATATGACGATCAAGATTTATCAAGTCTGTGTTGCTATATGGCCTCTGTTCAGTAATCTTAAATCTATTTTTAGGGCTAAAATTCCCACTTTAATCCAAAGTAAAAAATGATTATACTGAAGCATAGACCTTGCCTATGTAACTTTAAAGAATTAATAGAGCTCTGTAAACCCTATGTTATATTATTTTCGTTAAAAAATGTAAATATGTGTGTACATATATGTATATATATGCATATATATATATATATGTATGTATGTATGTATGTATGTAGTATAGGAGGCTCTAGCTGATTACCTCCTGGCCTTCACAGCACTCTTCTCTGAGATGCTGGATTTGACTGCTGCTGGTAAACCACACAGTGCAGCCTGAGGACTGAGCGCAGTACCAAGGAGAAACATACCTTTCAAGGACAGCGTTTGTCTGCTTTCTAATGAGGAAGTTAATAACAAAAAAACATTTTTCAAAGAGAGGTTGGACTTTAAAAAGGCGTTGTGAATCTAATAAAAGGGAAGGTGTTGCTTTCTCTGGCTAATTTTCTCTTCTTTTCTCCCCTCCAGTGGGCATTTTGTTCTTATTTCAATTAGTTTTATGCTGTCTCAGATTTTCTTAAATATTTGCAGCCTGCTGAGTCTTGCAGGGATCTCAGGAACACTTTGTGCCTTTTTTAATGACATTATCCCATTTTACTTTTATTATAGTTAATGTGTTTGTTGATTTTAAGATATTTTAAAGTATCTACTTTGTATCAGGTACTGTACTAGGCAATTAAGGTAAAACAGAAACCGAACATACTCCCTCCTTTCAGTGACCTTCCCATCAGGTAGGGAAGACTGAGGTAACATTGCTATAAAACGGAGAGTGCAGTCAACTCGACGGTATGAACTAGAGGTCCAACGTTTATTTAGTAATTCATTCATTTGTTTGTAGTGGAGACTAATACATGCAGTAATAGTGAATAGAGGACTTCCCTGGTGGTGCAGTGGTTAAGAAGCCGCCTGCCAACGCAGGGGAAATGGGTTGGAGCCCTGGTCCGGGAAGATCCCACATGCTGCGGAGCAGCTAAGCCTGTGCACCACAGCTACTGAGCCTGTGCTCTACAGCCCGCATGCCGCAACTACTGAGCCCGTGTGCCTAGAGCCCATGCTCTGCAGCAAAGAGAAGCCACCGCAATGAGAAGCCCGCGCACCACAACAAAGTAGTCCCCGCTCGCCACAGCTAGAGAGCCCGCGCGCAGCAGCGAAGACTCAACACAGCCAAAAATAAATAAATTTGTGTTTTTAAAAATAGTGAATATGAGGGGTTATGGGAGAGGTTTTTCAGTCAGGCTTTAGGGATCAGGGAAATCTTTCTAGAGGAGATGATTTGTAAGTAGGAGCTGAGGTGGGAAGTATGGAAAATTGCTTGCAAAGAAGAACTACAGTTATTTCCCCGTCCCTGTACGCTTGCCCTAATTGTGATTGTGCCGCTGCTCCCATGAAGTGGACTTTATCTTTCCAGCCCTTCATTCTGGACTTTGCCGTGTCTTTCTTTGGTCAATGGGGTGTTAGCAAGCGTGACACAGGCAGAGACTTGAAAAGTATTTGCACGTTGAGGTTTGCCTTCTCTTCCTCCTGGGAACTGTGAGACATGCAAAGAAGCCTGCAGAAGGAAGAGAGAGTTGGCGTGGTCTTTTATGCTGCAAAAATGAACCGATACAGGAGGGCGTAGGAAGATTGTTACGGGTAGAGAACACAGAATGTGCAGAAAACTCAGGAGCAAAGGAAAATGTATCTTTGGAGAATAGCCAGCATTTCAGTTTGGCTGGGTGAGGTACCCAGAGTAGAAAGAGGCAAGATGTGAAGATGGTGAGGTCACTGAGGTGAGATGAGGAAGTTCTGGGTAAACCACAGCAAGAAGTTAGGGCCGTGTCTTTGGGGCACTGGTGAGTCAAGAGTTTGAAGCAAGGGAGTGACGTGGTGGGTTTTAGACCCACCTCTCTAAATGGATTGGAGAGGCTAAGAAGTATTTACACGTCCTAGATCTGGTACTAAATTGGAAAGTAGCAATTATATCATCAGTGGCTTTTTCCCCCTCCTTTGTGCTTTGTAACATGTTGCAGAGAGCCTGACAAGTGCTTGTGGAACCAACAGGAAGTGTCCTCACGTGGGCCCTCCCACTTTATGTGTCCCTGTACCACCATAGTAATCCAGATTTTTCTTCAGGATGGGATTTTTAAAACTCTCTAAGCATTTATTTTTATATTCCATTCATTAGTTCAGCAGACGTTTATTGAGTGCCAGCTATGTGCCAGGTACTGTCCTAGGCGATGGGGATACAGCAGTGAACAGGACAGGTAAAAGGCCCTCAATGGCGTTTACATCAAGGGATAAGTATGATCAAATTACCTGAGTGGGGGGATAGTGGTTTATGGACAGGTGATAAAGGAAGGCCTGTGAAGCAGTGACATTGAACAGAAACCTGAATGAAGTGAGGGAGTTGGCCTTGTGGGCGCCTGGGAGATGACCCCAGACGGGATAGAAAAAGGCAGAGGTATGAGTAAACGTGGTATGTCAGAGGCGCCGAGAAAAGGCCAGAGTGGCCAGGGAGCAGAGTAGGGGAGGGAAAAGGATGAAGAAATGAAAGTTGGGCAAAGGTGCAAAGACCAGATCACACTAAACATTAGGAGTTGGGATTTGTTTTCTTGATTGAAAGGGAAAGCCAGTGGAGAATTTTGAAGGGGGCGGGCGGGTGGGGCATGGTGTCATGATCTGACATTTGGAAACTCTTCACTCTGGCTGCTGTGTGGAGAATACACTGCAGAGGCAGGGGTGCAAGCAGTGAAACTAGGAGTGTTGATGGTTTGCACTGGAGTGGTAGCAGCGGAGGGGGTAAAATGTGATCAGATTTGGTACACGTTTTGGAAGCAGAATGCACAGAATATGCTGACGGAATTACTGAGGGTATGAGAAAGAGTCAAGGGTGAGCTGGAAGTTTGGGGCCTGAGTAACCGAGTGATGCTGTCACATACTGAGATGGGGAAGGCTGAGGGGAGAGCAGGTTTGCAGGGAGGATGCAAATAAAGATTTGGAGTTAGGACTTGCTAACTCTGAGCTAACAATTAGATCTACCTGGGGGAGCCAGCGTCTGGGGTGGCCGCAGTGGCTCCCCGCCTCCTCCCTCCTGGGATTCACACCCTTATGTAGTCTCCACCCCAAAATTGTACCAGAGCTGGGCTTTGTGGTGAGAAGAACACGGAAAAAGTGTTGGTGTGTCACTCCCAAGATTAGGTTAGGAAAGACACGCGTCTCAGAGTGGCTTTCTCTCTCGGATCATTCACTCTGGGGGAAGTCGACTGCCAGGTTGCAAACAACCCTAGGGAGAGGCCCACATCCTGAGGAATGGGGGCTCCTGCCAGAAGCCATGTGAGCTTGGAAGTGGATTCTCCCCAGTCTCAGAAGACTGCAGCCTCCTGAGGGACCTTGCACCAGAACTGCCAGGCTAAGCTGCTCGTGGTTTGCCGACCCTCAGAAACCGTGAGAGAATGTTATTTTAAGCTTCTGAATTTGGGGGCCATTTTATACAGCAATAGATAATTAATACAGTTAGAAGTGATTGTGTAAGTTTGGAGTTTAAGGAAAAGGTTAGGGCTTGTGCTATAAATTGGGAAATTCAGATACAGTACTTAAGCCATAGGACAGTATGAGACCACTCAGAAGTGAACACAATGCAAAGAGATGGTCTGGGGATTGAACCAGATATCAGGAAGAGGAGGAGGACGGCCAGAGGACACAGGGAAGGAGTAACCACTGATGTAGAAGGAAAGCCAGAAGTGTGATGTTCTAGAAGCCAAGGAAAAAAAAAATTGAAGGAGGGAGTTGATCAACTGGGTCAAATGCCATTGAGACACTGAGTAAGATGCGGCCTAAGCACTGACTGGTGCGTACCTGTGCTTGCAGAGTAACAAATGCAATCAGAGAGGTAATACAGTTCTTACTGGGAAAGAACAGAGGTGACCACTGGGTGGGAAGATTCGTGTCCCCGCCAACCAGTGCTGCACTTAACACTTCCTCCCTATACCAGATGGGGTTTTGGTTGCTGTGTACTCCTCCTTGCCAGGAACTGAAGGACTACTCAGCTGGGTGAGTAGGGGGTGGGTGCAGGAGGGTAGGATGAGGGAGAGGGCAAGAGCATGAAGCCAGTTCAGTCTGTTTCAAGCCAACTGTAACCCGCTCTTGCTGCCTGCGCATTTCTTCTGGGCATGCAGGGTCATGGATAGGACTTGGCATTCAGCAAACAGTGAACGAATGAATGCATCTCAGTGGCAAAACTTGTCTTTGAATCTTCTCAACTCAATTTCTTTGTCACTGGGCACCATAAAACCAGAGTGTCGCAGGATATTAGCTCCTGAAAGCCAAAGGCTGCTGCCAGCATTTCTCTAGCTCTGAGAAGTGGAGCTTGGCATCAGCCTGTGAAAGTGGGCTGGCCTAATTCTTGAAATACAAAATAAAGCTAGTTCATATTAACACAACTACTTTGCCAGCAGTTTTTCCCCTGGGAGCTTGTGATGTCTGACTGGTGGTCGTGGGTAAATTGCCCCATGAAGGCTGGCCTACTGCAGGGATCATTTCTGGGCTGAGCTTACCTGCCAAGGAGGGCAGCCGGACCGAAGGCCCCTGCTTGGCCCCTACCTGGAGAGGACAGGAACGTGGCTCAGTCTCTGATTGGGTCTCTGGGGACGCGCCCCTCTCGTCCCCTCCCCGAGGCCAACCTCGGCAGTTCCTGGCAGAGATCTTAATGTCGCCTCAGAGGCACATTTCCCTCTGCTGCTTTGTGGCTGAGTGAGCCTCTCAAAGGAAGGTACATATCTGCCCTATCAGGTTGAAAAAAAAAAAAAGCTGGATTTTTTTTTTCATGCAAAACCATGATAGAATGTTTATTTTTTGTTTAAGTTTGCAGGTTTGTCTCCATCTTTGTCCCATAATAAGGTAGACGAATGGCCTGTGAGGGAGCCATGTGCAGGCTGGGCCGGCTGGTGCTGCAGATGCTGTTAACTGGGTTCAAAGCTGGTGAGTTGACCGTCTATAGTACTGAGCAGGCCTGTGATAAAAAGTATTTCCCAGGAGAGAAAAAGAGAATTCGTCACTATTAGTTTCCTAAGGCTGCGGTAACAAAGTATCACAACCTGGGTGGCATAAAAATGGCAGAAATTTATTGTCTCACAGTTCTGGAGGCTCCAAGTTGGAAATCAAGGTGTTGGCAGGACGGTGCTCCCCCTGAAGTGTGTAGGGAAGGAGCCTGCCTTGCCTGTTTCTAGCTGCCGGTGGTTGCTGGCATCCTTGTTCCTTGGCTTCCAGCTGCAGCGCTTCTGTCTCTGCCTCTGTCATCACATGGCAGAGTGTCCCTCCACCCCACCGTTGAGTCTGTGTCTGTTTTTTTGGACACCAGCCATCCTGCTCCAGTATGACCTCATCTGAACTAGTTACATCTGCAGTGACCTTATTTCCAAACAAGGTCACGGTCTGAAGTACTGGGGTTAGGACTTCAACATATCTTACTTTTTTGGACGGGCGCTGGGGTCACAGGTCAACCCCTAAAAGCGTCGTTCAAAAGACATCCAGATGGATATGTGCCCCTCTAGTTGCTGGTAGGCCCTGGGCCTGATGGCAGAAGCACAGACCTGGCTTAGGAGAGATCAAATCCCAGCTTTTATCAGCCACAAGACGCCAAACCTCTTCCTCTGCAAGATGGGGTGTTACAAAAACTAAACAAGATAATATCTGAAAAGTGCCCAGCATGCTCCAGGTACTTAGCTGTACTAAGTGGCCCAGCTGTGGACGAATGACCGCTTAGCTGTTGGCTACAAGCTCTGGTTTTCACGTGACGACACGTCCAGCAGCCGGTGTTCATAGAGATGATGCAACGAGAGAGGGACTTCGAAATCTCCTACCCTCTCATCAAACGAGTGGTTTTCTTTTGATTCCTTTCCCCCTCCTTGGCACCCGGCTCCATGGAGGAAGTTACAGTTAAAGGCTGAGTAGACTTTATCGAGGCGGAGGGCTGAGGCAGGAACCTGGGAAGAGTCCTGGCTCGTTCCAGGCTGCAGGCTTATCTGCAGAGGCCCCTAGCCCCGATGCCAGTGTGGCCAGAGCAGAGAGGGAAGCGGTGGCCGGTTCAGCACCTCACATGCCCCTTTGGGGAGTTTAGAGCTTGTTGAGTGAGAACAAAGAAGCTCTGGAAGGTTTTCAGTAGAGGAACAGAGGTGTGAGACGAGACTCACCCATCAGGAGCTAGAGTGGTCGCCATGGTGATCCCCGCACGAGATGGCAGTGGCCTTGACCACGGCAGTAGTGAGGGGGTGAGAGATTCAGCAAGCGACACTGGCAGGACTTGGAGAAGCCGGGGTGGTGGGCAGTGAAAGCCGGGGTGAGTCTGGACGCCCTGCTCTGACCCCTGAGGGGCAGTGGCTCTGCTGGGAGAGGGACCCGTGGCTCGTAACCAGCCACCTGGCGGCACGACAGCCTCCAGCGAGGGTACCCGGCTGGGCGCTCCAGTGCGACCTGCACCCTGTCTGTCACCTGACAGGATGGGCTGCAGTCTCGCGAGGGAGCCCAGTGTTCCCAGCGTCAGGGAGCCCCAGTCTTACCGCTGGCTGATAACGGGGGAGGGAGTGTGCACTGCGCGACTTACCTTTCCTTGAGCGGCCTCCGCTACAAACACTTGTCAGGACGCTGACCTGGGCTCCCTCCGTAGTCACATGATGTGACACACTGATGTGTCAATGTGGATCAGAGCTTTCCTCAGGTTCTTCAGCCATTTGACAGTTTGAGTAAATAATGACTTGTCAGTGCTATTTATTCACATTCCTCTTTCTCAGCCCTGTTTTTGGCCCAGAACACTCTTTATTTTTGTCCGTGTTACATAATGAGGGAACGGCATTCTTAGTAACCCACTGTCACTCCTGTGTTATCTTGCCTACATGAAAAAAGGAAATATTTTTAGAGTGTGAATTTCCCAAACGTCCTCTACTATTTCTGGGGCTGAAGGCATAACGTCATGGCGGGAGGGTGGCATGGGGAGAGGGCCCAGTCGTCTCCTGTTTGGCCGGGGCTGACCCTGGGCCTCAGGAGCTGCCTGGACATCCTGTCTGCCCCATCCTGTCCCGGCTAAGTGGCGGAGGCTCCTCTCTGCCCAGGGTTTTACGTGTTCAGCAGCGGATTCAGGAGCCTAGGAATAATCTTAATTGATATTCTTCATTCCTATTGTTTCAGGATATTCAAAAGAGTGGTCGGGGCGGGGGGAATGACCACAAGCAGTGAACCCCTCTTCTTAAGCACACAAGTGACAGGCTCATCCCCTATGTGGGGGGTGCCTGTCAAACCGGGGAGGCGAAAGTGCCTTGCATAAGTTTGAAAGGCTCCTTCCTGGCCGGCCATCTGGAGGCTTCCCTGAAATGGGTGTGACGGGGCCAGTGAAGTCCCAACAGGATGGGCTCGGCTGAGCCAAAGAACGTCTATAAAAGCAAATCTGGGGGCTGCCCTGGGGGCGCAGTGGTTAAGAATCCGCCTGCCAATGCAGGGGACCGGCGTTCGAGCCCTGGTCCGGGAAGATCCCACATGCCGCGGGGCAACTAAGCCCGTGCGCCACAGCTACTGAGCCTGCGCTCTAGAGCCTGAGAGCCACAACTACTGAGCCCACGAGCCACAACTACTGAAGCCCGTGCGCCTAGAGCCCATGCTCTGCAACGAGAAGCCACTGCAATGAGAACCCCTCGCACTGCAACGAAGATTAGCCCCCGCTCGCCGCAACTAGAGAAGAGCCTGCACGCAGCAATGAAGACCCAACACAGCCAAAAACAAAAAAGTTTGTCCAAAGAGCCTGGGCGTTTCAGGTCTTGCCAATCTGGCTGGAGAGCCAGACATGTTTCCTTCCTGTGTTTATGGGATTCCCCAACAGCGTCCTGGTTGAAAACCACTTCTGGAAGCTGGTGCACAACCACCTGTGGGGAAAGGTGACCCACCTCTAGGCTGGGAGGAGTCGAGACAGACCTCCCTGGGCTGTAATGGGAACAGTTGACCCAGCAAGTCCTGTGGGAGAGTCAGGAGACAGGGGACCCTCACCACTGAGAAGTCATCTGAAACCTTTGCAAATGGCCTCATTATACATGATCTTAGGGCAGATCATCTCCCACAGTTAAATAAACTACTCCAGAGTTTCTCAAACATGAACAATGTATGGTGCCTCTTAAAGGACGAGCTTCTTGCAGACCCTGGCATTGCCTTTGGCTCACTTAGCAGCACTGTGATAGTAATCTCAACTGGGGACGTAGGCACCCCAATCTTCAGAGGAGCCAGAATAGCTGGTAGTCATCGCTTAGATTATCACTGAAATGAAAAAACACTTTTAAAAGGATCAGAGAACTCAGACCCCAGAGACTACATTCTCAGACCCTGTGGTGGGAGAAAGGCCTGTGCAACCTGTGGGACATGGCAGAGAGCTGCTTCCAGGTGGAAACACAGTACATTAGCTTAATACTCACAGTCCTGTGAAAAATGAGCAACACCCAGCTGAAACTACACATCCTCTCCAAGGGTTTACTGCACACAAGATGTTCCTGGCCTGAAGAAGTATACTTAGGCCCATGGGCGCAGCTGTTCTCCTAGCCCTCCTCCCACCTCTGTGGAGAGGACAGTTCTAGGTCTGTCTATGACCATCGTACGTACTCTCAGGGTTAGTGATGGGAGGAGCTGTGCAGGGTGGAAGCAGCTAGTCTGAGAGCTGAAGGGCCTAGCCAGATGCACGGGAAGGTCAAAGGTTCAGTCCACATGCATGTCTCGGGTGCAGCTTGAGGTAGCCATGACGTGTGGTCACTAGGCTGATGCACGGATTTGAATCATTTCTGGAAATAAGAAGGCTAGTGGGTGACTCTAGCTGACCACGCAGCATCTGCCTCTCCATGTTCACGTAGGTTCCATGAGAAAAACTGGCTCTGTAAAGAAAGCAAGCTAGAGGGGGAAGAGATTTAGTAAAAGGGTGACTGGATGTTTGTGTCCCCCTGGAATTCATATGTTGAAATCCTAATCCCCAGTGTGATGGTGTTAGGAGTTGGGGTCCTTTGGAAGGTGATTAGGTCATGAGGGTGGAACCCTAACAAATGGGATTAGTGTTCTTATAAAAGAGACCCCAGAGAACTCTCCCCCTCTTCCTGCCGTATAAGGACACAGTGAAAAGTCAGCAGCTGGTGTCCCAAAAGAGGGCCTTCACTAGACCTTGGCCATGGTGGCACCATGATCTCAGATTTCCAGCCTCCAGAACTGTGAGAGATAGATTTCTCTTGTTGATAAGCCACCCAGTTTAGGTATTTTGTTATAGCAGCTTGAGCTAAGACAGGCTGGCTTTAAATTAAAGAGTGGTTTTCAAATTTTTGGTTGGTTAGTGATGTAATTAAACACAATGAATATAATACAGCATTAGTGGCAGAACTTTATAAATGACTTCAGGCTTATATTTACATCATCATTAAAGGTCACATATTTTTCAATTTCATGCGGAAAAGTATTGGTTAGAGGGATGCAGTTGGGTTCTTTTGGTTGTAAGCAATAAAGACCAGAAGTAAGGATTCATGGGGAGCAGTGAGGGCCATGAAATGAAACTGAGCCATCATAGGCCTGACCACGTGGAGTCTAGAGTCTGGGGTTTCGGATTTGGGTCAGCTCTAGAGAATCTTTGCAGCAGGAATTCCTGGCTTCTCACCCTAGTGTATGACCGTGAATGTGACTTGGCTCCGAGTAACTGTCTTTCTGTCCCTGTACGAGCTGGCTTCCTCCTCTTGTCCAGTTTGATTCCTCTGGACTTTCCGCTTGCTCAGGGTCCATGGCAAGTTCTCCAGCTTCTACATCACCACTTTTCAATACCACCTTCTGTTGATAACTAGCTCGGTCTTTCACTTTTCTAGTTCCATAGAGAAGCATCCAATCAGCCCACTTCACCTTTTCATCCAGCCTGTTAGGCATAATTTGTGGGCCAGCCTTGGGTTGTCCCTTCAGCTGTGGTGAGAAATGTTCATGGATATCACATGCTTACTGCCCCCTTAGGAGGGTCATGAACCAGAAAGAATCCTTTAGAAGATGGTGTGGCTGTAACTCCAGCATGGTTGGGTTTACGATTTTAGTTATTCCTGAAGGTTTCTATTTAACTTTTTTTTTTTTGAAACTTAGAAAGTTGCAAGGATAGTACAAAGAAATCCTGTAGATCCTTTACCCAGATTCACCCATTGTAAATATTTTGCCATTTTGGTTTTCTAGGCCAAGTTATCTGTGTTAGATAGACATTATGAATCCCCCATCCCCCTTCTGCCCACCTTAACGTTTCCTCCCCACCACGTTCTGATGGAGAGAAATGACCAAAGCTATGTGTGGTCGATTCTCAGGAAAAAACTTGTCAGAACAGTCACTGAGCTGATTTAGGAAATACATTTTCAAATCTGAATCCTCCTTATTAGATGCTGTAGTGATCTAGTGATATTTTTATTATGTATGACAAAATCAGTGCAATTAAAGTTTAAGGAAAGATAAAGAAAATGGCATCCTAGATACTCTGAAAAACCATACCCATAGCAACTGAAATTCTGGATAAATGTCTTTTAAAATGCATACGATGCAGATTTTAGTATATGTGTTGCCGAAGCGAGCACATATGCAGATTTTAATTTTTAAAAAAGATACAATTTACAATAGCAAAACACATTATTTACCTAGTGATAAATATGGCAAAAGATATGCAAGCTTTTTAAAGGAGAAAATAAATTAGGAGGTCTTGCTATATGAGATAGTAAGACGCCATAATGTTAAAGTAATTAAAAGAGTATGCTATTGACTCAAAGTAGTTCAACAGAACAGACAGAAACCCAGAAGTAGACCCAGACATATAAGGACACTTAAGTTCTGATAGAGACAGTAAGGCAGATCAGTGGGGAAATGATGGGATATTCAATAAATAGTGCTTGGACAAGAGGTCATCAAATGAAATTGGACCCATATATTACTCCATACTCAAAAATCAATTCCTGGCAGATTGAAGACTGTTATGTAAAAGGAAAACACATAAAATGTTTAGAATACTACGTGGGAAAGTAGCTTTAAATTTTTAGAGTAGGGGGGTCTTCTTAAATAAAACACAAAGAATATGACCCATAAAGGAAAAGACTGATAAATTTGGCTGCATTAATATTAATAAGGGAACTTCTGTTCAACAAACACCATAAAGAATGAGAGACAAACTACAGACTGGAAAAAGAGATTTGTCACAGTGAGATACCATTTCACACATACCAGATGGGCACAAATTTTAAAGTTAGATGATACTCAGGTGTTGACAAGGATTTCCAGCAACAGACACTCTTACCTATTGCTGGCAAGAGTGTAAGTTGGTACAACTTCGGAAGATAGTTTTGCATTCCCTAATAAAATCTGAACAAGTACATACCCTACAGCCCAGTAATCTGTTCCTGGGTGTGTACTGTAGGGAGTGGTTCTCAAAGTGTGGTCCCCAGACCAGCAACATCAGTATCTCCTGGGAACTTGTAGAGATGCACATTCTCCAGCCACCCAGACCTGCTGAGCCAGAAACTGCGGCTGGGGACAGTGGTTCTGTTTGTGGGGAAGGGAAGGAGATAACGGGAAGAGCATACAGGCGTTAAAGGTACTGGGGATAGCCTATTTTTAAGCTAGGTGGTGAGTTCACTGCTGTTCACTATTTTAAAAAATAGTATACTCAGTGGGAACTGAAAGTTTCAGTCACGTGAGATGTAGGACTGTGTGACTGAGAGGTAAATGAAATGACGAGCAAGCCTGCCCAACCTGCCGGCCAGTTCTGGGGGTCTGGCTGTCAGATCCAAACTTGTCTGGTCCATGAGGCAGTTTGATGCCAGTTTTTGGCGGCTTAGGTATCTACCCTGGCTTAAGTGTGGATGGGGA